AATAAGAGCAGAAACTAATGACACGGGAGAACAATAAAGAATAGAAAGAATTGACAATGACCGAAGCTAGTTATTTTAAAAGATAATAAGATGGACGAACCTTAGGCAAGACTACTAAGAAACAAGGAGAGAACCCACAAATAAGAAAAATATCAGTCATGAGAGAGAAATGATCAATAATCCTTTGAAAAGATGTCTAACCTCCATAGCATTCACAGAAATGCCAGTTTCACTCCCATCAGGTGGGCAAACAATTAAATCTGACAGTATTGATTGCTGGAGAAGGTGTGGAGCAATGAGAACATTCAGCTCGTGACAGGGGTAAAAGTTGGCACAAACACTTTGGAGAGCAGTTTGGCAAAACCTAGTGACACTGAAAGTGTGCCATGGCCTTGGATGCACCAATTCCACTCCTGGGAATGTGCCCTGGGGGAACTCTTACACATAAGCCCGAGGATGCACAAGGATGTTCATTTCAGCATTTTTGAAATAGAAAAAAAAATGTCCATCAACTGGAAAATGGATAAATAGTACATCCAAAGAAATACAGGTAGCAGTATAAATGAACTAGAACTATGTGTGTCAACAAGGCTAAATCTTTAAAGCACAAAGTTGAGCCAAAAGTCTAATCCCTTAGGAGAATTTAGACCCCATCTAGTCTAGAAAGCAGTGCCTTGCCTGAGGCAAATGGAAAAATGTGCATCTCTTTGTAGATATTTCCATGTATTTTTTAGTAGCTATTTTTTCAAAACATTAAACATTAAAATACTGTAGTAGTTACTACTGAAAAGTTGAAAAGTAGGTGTATTAAAACACAACCTTATTTTATAAAGCTTCAATATTTTATGTACACTCAAAACAGAATCTGTTATAATTTTTTGGCACCCATTTAAATTTTGCACCCACAGTGAGTGCTTCACTCTCCTCACCCTACTTCTTGTTTGGTCAGAGTTCTCGGGGAGTTGAAAGCGGGAACAAGAGAGGTGTGTGGTTTCCTGAGCAGTGGCTTCTTGGTGTGTCTGAGTAAGGGGACCTTCCCAGCACTTTCAAATCTCCCCTCACGAGGTCCTCCAGGGTGGGTGTGTTTATGCTCATTTTATAGAAGAAAAAGGCTTAGGGCAGATGAATTCTCTGGCTCCCTGTGCTCAGTTTCTTCATCTGTAAAATGGGGAAAATCATGGTAACCCATCTTTATAGATAATTCATGCCGTGAGGATTAAGTGAATTAATACATAAAATATATTTAGAAGAGATCTGACACTGGGGTAGCTCTTCCTAATTTGGAACTTGCCCAGGATGACCTAGTAAATAACTAAGTAACTAAGTAAATAACCTCAAGTGTGGAAACTGGGATCCAATTCCAGTTCTGTCTACACCCGCACTGTAAATGTCTGAATTGAGATGTGCTTTAAGTGTAAAATACACACCAGATTTCAAAGACAGTATGGAAAAAGCATGTAAAATATCTTCATTGATAACTTTTTAGTATCGACGGCAAGTTGAAATGATACTATTTGGGGTATGCTGGGCTAAATAAGCACTTATTGTTGCCCGTTTCTTTTTCTTTTTCTTTTTTTTTTTTTTATCAAACCTCCACCCCATCCATGATGCGGTCTCCCTAGCAAGACAAGTGACCATCTGGCACCCTACAAAATATTTACAACATTATTAATTATGTTCCTCGAACTGTCTTTCATGTCCCTGTGGCAATATTGTAGTTACGTATTTATGCTGTCTAATCCCTTCCCCNAATTTTTATTGGGTAACAGTGTGTTTTTTCCAGGAACTATCAGCTCCAAGTCAAGTCGTTGTCCTTCAATCTAGTTGCCGAGGGCGCAGCTCACTGGCCCATGTGGGAATCGAACTGGCAACCCTGTTGCTCAGAGCTCGTGCTCTAACCTACTGAGCCACCCGGCCACCCTGAGATACCTCTTTTAAAATGGAGTTATGAGGCTAGAAGAGAGAACTCTGGCTCATGTGTCACTCAATGCATACTGTTAACCCTATTAAAAAGATACATACCTTGTATCTCTGACAGGAAGTGATACATTACTACCTCAGCAGGAGAAAGAAAAGATTCCTTCTTGCCTTGTACCGGCTCAGCCAATGGGAGATTGCCATAACTCAGGCAATGAAAAGTCACTATATTTCAAACTTTTAGTTTCCGCCAATGGATTCTTTATTTACAACAGGCCTTCCAAAGCCCATAAAAGAGCAATCCTCTCATTTGTTTCTCTGCACTTGAATGTGATTTACCATTAGACCACCTGTCCCGAACTGCAATTCTTTGTTGTTTCTGAATAAACCCATTTTGCTGGAGAAATATCTGGCTGTTTGTTAAAGGTCAATATCCTCATAGCCAAAATGTAAATCTGCAGGGGGCAGGTACCAGGCACTGTGATAGAGTGGACAACATTGGAAGATGGGAAACCTGGGTTTCTTCCACTGGACACCACTTTGTGGGGTCTCCTTGGGCAAGTCTTGTCCACTGTCTGGGCCCATTTCCTCAGCTAAACAATGCGGGCAGTTCTCAGTGATATCCAGGGTCCCTTTCGCCACCCCCAGATCTCCTCTTCTATAAGCTTCAGTTCTTAAAGCTGAAATAGAATGTGATTGTGAAAGAAGAGCAGTAGAAAGTGTAGAAGCGCATTTAATTTAATGATTTTTAAACTCTAGTTTTATGAAAGGAATATTTACTGAGTATCAATTTATGCCAGGTTTTTGGGCATTTTCATTGCTACAATGAGAAAAGACCCCACCAATGAATAGAGAAAGGTATGCCCCAATTTTAAAGACCAACAAAGTCACCTTTAAAAAATCATGCCATTTCAACTGGGTTCAATAATGTTCCCCAAAATGTCACGTCCACTCAGAACCTGTAAGTGTTGCCTTATTTGGAAATAGAGTCTTTTTAGATATAATTTGTTAAATTAAGATGAGACCATACTGATTTAGGGTGTGCCTTAGTTTAATGATGGGCGTCCTTAAAAGAAGACACCAAAAGACAAAGTGTGTGTGTATGTGGAGGGGTAGGGGGGCAGGAGGGACATGTGAAGATAAAAGCAGAGATTGGAGGTATGTTGCCACAAACCAAAGAACACAAGGAGCTGCCAGAAGTTGGAAAAGGCAAGGAGGTATCCTCCCCATGAACCTCTGCAGGGAGCATGGCCCCGCCAACACCTTGATTTTGGACTTCTAGCCTCCAGAACCGTGAAAGAATAACTTTCTGTTGTTTTAAGGCACTCAGTTTGTGGGAAATTGTTGCAGGAAACTAATACAGGTCATAAAAAGAAGTACACTGAGAAATAATGATGAGTTAAGTTTGCAGCAATCTGTCACCTTAAGGCTACAGAACTCTAATAGTACCCTAATCAAGCTGAATTTGACTGAACTAGATGAAGAGGTTAGTGGTCAAGAAGGCAGGCTTTGGAATCACACAGACCTGGCTTGGAAACCCCAGCTTTGGGTACATATTAG